CCTTCATTACTTTTTGCTGAGAGACATACGAGGGGAGTTAATGTGAGCTGCAGCAGTCTTTCTTATGATGGATTGTGCATACGCACACATCTTTCTCTCTGTCAATTCACTCTCTCTTTTCTGTGCACAATCTAATTTGAGATAAGCCGTAAGAGAACACTAGTGGGAACGAGAGCAGACTTTATCAGTGCTCTGGGTGGGTGTGGGAGGAGATCTAGGAGTAATTGTATTCCTGTATGGTTGCAGGGACTCCTATTAAAACCAATAACTGCTAATGGGGTTACAGCTTAATTTTTTAAGTGCCTCGATAACGATTATGAAGACATCCACATCTGTTTGTTTTATGTTGCTGATGCATATTAGAATGATCACTACTGTACGTAACTCTGGCAAACGAAGAGCTTGAGAAGTCTGAGAGGTAGAACAGGCATAAAGGTTCTTTATTACATCTGTGGTTCCATGGAGAACCTTTAACATCCATGAAAACTTTCCATTGCACAAAAGGTTCTTTAGATTATTAAAATGTTCTTCACATTAAGAAAAGAAATGGTTATTTTAAAAACCCAATGAAATGGTTCTTTTATGGCATTGCTGTGAAAACCCCCTTTTGGAAACTTTATTTTTAAGAGTATAGGTACATGAAAACGTGTACAGATGGAAGTTTGCTACAAGATCTTGCTCCAGACAGCTTTTCTGATTCCCACTACACATCAGCTGATGAACGCTGATCCCATTCATTACAGAAAAACTGTATTGTTACAGTAATGCTTGTCATGTCAAAATGGACGGCTCAACAGAGCGCAACATGTTGCAATTCTGTGACTTTTTGAGAGAGCAGAAAAAAAAAAAAAAAAGGCTATGTCAACAGACAATAGTGGGAAAGCTTTTTCAGCAAAAAATGTTCCCACTATTTCTGGGCATTCAGTTTGGCTGGAAATGTGGCATTCTCGGCTCACAGCGAGTTTCTGGATGACACATTAACACCTGGCGGTAACGGCAGCTAAAGCGAGCGCATGACATTGATTATAACCCTGCTGACTCTGACACTCACATCAACTGTCCAATCACTACCAGATATGAGCTGTGTGCTGTAAGCAGCACGCTTGACTGAAATAAGACAACACAATGTACGTGCAAGCAGATGGAAAATACTGATTCATGCAATAAAAAAGGAGACAAGAGGAAATTAGACAGTCATGTGGAAACTGTTAGAATCATTTTTCCAACCGACAAGGTGGAGGTGATGGTGCCGCAGCATCCAGTCGCCATTATATTCCATGCATTTACATTTAAAAAAAAAAGCCATTCCAAGTCAAAAAATTGCCTCCACACTGATCAGAATTTCAGGTCTTGAACCATGAACTGTTAACATCAGTGGCCAGAAATCTATGAGCTAAACCATATCTAGACCATGAAAATAACCTATAAGAATCAGAAGTTATTTACACTGGAAGCAGCTGATGTAAAACATCACTAAGATAATGATAAACATCACTTTTATGTCATAAACATTTTCACTGACGCACCATTTCACCCTGATGCACTATGTTTGTTTATGGGAAGCTTACAAAGTAACAGGCAGTTAAATCCTTGTTTGGCTCTTAAGGCAGTGAAGACACACTAACACACAGTATCTGTTAGCCGAGCACCAACACTGGAAATGGAAAAGGAAAATCTGCGGTCAGAAGCAGTCTGAAGCTTTTACTGGAACCGTATCACATTATAACACCTGTCGTGTTCATGACCAGCAGCTTAAGAAGCGGTTCCCTTTTGATAGGAGAGGCCTTGAGGGACTGTTATGAGCCATTTAAATGAGTTATTGGCTTGATCTGGACCTACTATTGACCATTAGTGTGTATACGAAAGCGAAAAAATCAATAAAAAGAGTGACACATGATTGAGACAGGGCAGCACAGACATTAACCCAAACAGAAAAGACATTCAGGACATAAGGCTGGTAAGATCATGGTTAGTGAGCAATAATGATGCAGTTAATAGAAGAGAAAAAAAAGGAAATCAAATAGTGGAGAGAAATGCTGTTTCTCTCTCTTTTTTAAATCTTGATTTTACCGTGGTTGCAGTCTTTCAGAACAGGTCTTTGTGGACTCAGACTGAGTACTTGTGTTGGTTCATCTGTAGAAATCAGGACATGGGACAAGACAAAGTGAGAGCCACTCTCACAAATAAACACACCTTTGGTCTCCATACATTAGATTTTTACTTCCTTGTGTAAGGAAAGCCATGCCACGCTTTAAAAAATGCTCAGACTTCTTGAAGCATTTAACAGGTCCTTCTGATTTGACCGGTTCATTTGTTGGGCTCTCCCTGATTTCTATTGAAGGTGTTTCAGCTGCATTATACTCCATTAGTGCCTGTAATGCCTGAAAAAGTGTGCTGATAGTGGGGGGCTGATTCTGTACTGATTTCTATAGAAAAAGGTTTTTAACAGGAGTTACAGACTGTGAATTGTGCACTTACAGAACAACATACTATATATAATGGTTTAATCCTAAAGAATTTGCTGGACTAAAGATACAAGATATAGAGCATAATTTTGTTCAATTGTTTTCAACATTGATAATAATAATTATTATTACTTCAGCACCAAATGAGAATATTAAAATGATTTCTGAAGGATCATGTGGCATAACAACTGAAAATAATTCATGTTAAATGGTCAGGTTGATATTGTATATGCTACCCATTATCTGTCTGTAGCCATCTGCAGTCAACAAACCTGAGCCTCTCAGCTGGGTAGGACACATAACATGAAGAGCACGGAAGACACACTCTAGCTTATCTCACCCCTCACTGCGCTGGAAAAAGACTCTCAACCTCTGGGTGCTTTAGGGTGTTACTATAAGGGAAAATACAGTTATCCCTTCCAATCTCTGTCGGGATACTGGTCACCATTAAAAGGGTGTATTCTGTGATTATGGCCGACTGACTGTACATTATTGTGCTTATAACACAGCTACAAACAAACAAACAGACATAAAACTAGTACAGATATGAAAGAAATAAGCTGTTTGGAACAACAGTCAATTAGAAGGTAATACCTGAATGATTCAATAGAAAGAAAGAAAGAAAGAAAGAAAAAGTCAAAAAATTGCCTCCACACTGATCAGAATTTCAGGTCTTGAACCATGAACTGTTAACATCAGTGGCCAGAAATCTATGAGCTAAACCATATCTAGACCATGAAAATAACCTATAAGAATCAGAAGTTATTTACACTGGAAGCAGCTGATGTAAAACATCACTAAGATAATGATAAACATCACTTTTATGTCATAAACATTTTCACTGACGCACCATTTCACCCTGATGCACTATGTTTGTTTATGGGAAGCTTACAAAGTAACAGGCAGTTAAATCCTTGTTTGGCTCTTAAGGCAGTGAAGACACACTAACACACAGTATCTGTTAGCCGAGCACCAACACTGGAAATGGAAAAGGAAAATCTGCGGTCAGAAGCAGTCTGAAGCTTTTACTGGAACCGTATCACATTATAACACCTGTCGTGTTCATGACCAGCAGCTTAAGAAGCGGTTCCCTTTTGATAGGAGAGGCCTTGAGGGACTGTTATGAGCCATTTAAATGAGTTATTGGCTTGATCTGGACCTACTATTGACCATTAGTGTGTATACGAAAGCGAAAAAATCAATAAAAAGAGTGACACATGATTGAGACAGGGCAGCACAGACATTAACCCAAACAGAAAAGACATTCAGGACATAAGGCTGGTAAGATCATGGTTAGTGAGCAATAATGATGCAGTTAATAGAAGAGAAAAAAAAGGAAATCAAATAGTGGAGAGAAATGCTGTTTCTCTCTCTTTTTTAAATCTTGATTTTACCGTGGTTGCAGTCTTTCAGAACAGGTCTTTGTGGACTCAGACTGAGCACTTGTGTTGGTTCATCTGTAGAAATCAGGACATGGGACAAGACAAAGTGAGAGCCACTCTCACAAATAAACACACCTTTGGTCTCCATACATTAGATTTTTACTTCCTTGTGTAAGGAAAGCCATGCCACGCTTTAAAAAATGCTCAGACTTCTTGAAGCATTTAACAGGTCCTTCTGATTTGACCGGTTCATTTGTTGGGCTCTCCCTGATTTCTATTGAAGGTGTTTCAGCTGCATTATACTCCATTAGTGCCTGTAATGCCTGAAAAAGTGTGCTGATAGTGGGGGGCTGATTCTGTACTGATTTCTATAGAAAAAGGTTTTTAACAGGAGTTACAGACTGTGAATTGTGCACTTACAGAACAACATACTATATATAATGGTTTAATCCTAAAGAATTTGCTGGACTAAAGATACAAGATATAGAGCATAATTTTGTTCAATTGTTTTCAACATTGATAATAATAATTATTATTACTTCAGCACCAAATGAGAATATTAAAATGATTTCTGAAGGATCATGTGGCATAACAACTGAAAATAATTCATGTTAAATGGTCAGGTTGATATTGTATATGCTACCCATTATCTGTCTGTAGCCATCTGCAGTCAACAAACCTGAGCCTCTCAGCTGGGTAGGACACATAACATGAAGAGCACGGAAGACACACTCTAGCTTATCTCACCCCTCACTGCGCTGGAAAAAGACTCTCAACCTCTGGGTGCTTTAGGGTGTTACTATAAGGGAAAATACAGTTATCCCTTCCAATCTCTGTCGGGATACTGGTCACCATTAAAAGGGTGTATTCTGTGATTATGGCCGACTGACTGTACATTATTGTGCTTATAACACAGCTACAAACAAACAAACAGACATAAAACTAGTACAGATATGAAAGAAATAAGCTGTTTGGAACAACAGTCAATTAGAAGGTAATACCTGAATGATTCAATAGAAAGAAAGAAAGAAAGAAAGAAAGAAAGAAAGAAAGAAAGAAAGAAAGAAAAAGAAAGAAAGAAAGGAGAACAGAAAAAGAAAAGACTCAACAGGAAAGATGAAGGATGCGATTGGAGGAGTGTGAGGAGACTCACCTCGGGGTCGGGGTGCTCTTTTCCTGCGGTCTCTGAAAGCGGCTCCAGACTGCAGTGCCTCCAGCAGACAATCCATCACACCGGTCTCATCGTTCTCTACAGGAGAGAGGAAGAAAGAAGAGAAAAACATTAGGATGTGGAGGGTCATTCCATAGCATCACTTAAGGGTCTCTGCAGGAATGCTGGGGGGGAAGAAAAGTGTCCTTCTGTGGTCAGTATATCACAGCGCCGATTCGGACAATTTGAGAGGCAGACAGGCTCTTAAACTCCTCTATACATCTCTGCACCTCTACACAAATCCATGGGTGTTTTGTAGCGTTTGGAGGGCCGATCGTAAAAACAGCCGAGTGGTGCAGGCAGTTAACCTCAGGCCACCGGCTTTCACATAGAGGGACTCCAGAGACACAAGGAGGCCTGTGGGACAGGCAGGAGCAACATCACACCTCTCACTGTCACAGACACATCACGCACGTGCTCACATTGCTGCTTACACAAAACTTTACACACACACACATCCAGTGACAGAGAATAAATCAGGTTGGCAGGAAAGTGTGCATTTCAGCATGTTTGGAGAAAACGGCTTGTATGAGAGAATGTCGGGTGTGTGTTGAAACTGTGGATGGGTGAGTGTGGGTAAGCATTACGGGCCTTGACACTGTAACCTCCAAATATTAATCTTTACACTGACACAGCAAGTGCACACACACACACAACACAAAACAAAGCAAAAAGCATGCGAGCGTGTGTGCTAATGCTGCAGAAGTGCCCACTTTTCCACTGACAGGTTGCGACACCTATCATCTGGGCTGATTCAGAATTAAACCAGAACTGTTTTCTGAATAACCTGATTGTCATGACATTATTTCATGAGAAATAGAAAATAAAATACAATCACAATAAAAAACAAACAAACAAACAAAAAAACTAATAAAATATATTACACATAAATGATCTATTATAATAAATATTATAGAAAAACAATTACAGTCATATTTCAATTATATGATTAACTATTAATAATTTACAGTTTACAATTTAATAATTTACTGATATACATACCATTAAAAAATCTTTCTTTTGACATTATTAAGAGTACAGTATATTTAAAATAAAAGCAGCTGAATGTAAGAGGAGTTTACCTTTTTTCTATTTTCACTCAAAAGAACAAATCTTCCTCTATTGTATCTGTAATTCAGCGTTTAACTAAAATGTAAAACCTAAAAGCAAACACACAAGTATAGGGGCTTTATAAAAGAGACTGTCTGAAGCATCTTTGGGATTGTACCATTGTCACGGGTGCTTGCTCTCTGTAAAAAGCCAGGCAGACTCAGTCATACACTCAATAATATAGTGAGGCCATTTTCAATCAGCAACTATTGTCTGAGTAAGAGAGGGATGGTGAAAGAGAGAGAGTGAGCATGAAAGTGAGAGAAAGAAAGTGAACTGTGGGTAACGGAGGAGAAGGTATAGCTCTTTTGTACGGAGTTCTGTCAGTAGTTCAGAAGGGGCAGCCGACCAACAATGAAAACTCTCAGCGAAGAGAAAGCACAGAACTGTTGACCTTTACTAGCAAAGCTTCAATTAGACATAAAGAGTGTGAGTCTGTGATAAAGTGTGTGTATGATAGACCAACCACTTATCACCTCTCTCTCCCACGGAAATACAATGTCTTGCTCAATTTAAGCCATTATAATTTATAAAAAAAATTTTTTTTAAAATCCTTCTTTTGACAATATGAAATGTTTCAAGGACTGAAACTTAATTTACATATGAAATGATTTGCTGGCAAATATGCTTCAAGTACATATATTTTTGCACAAAATGCATTAATAATAAGAAGAATATTTTGAAAAGCAGAAACTACAATACATACTGGCTTTTCCCTCGAGTACATACTGGCTTCATTTTATCCATTCTTCCAAGGCAGATTTGCTCCAGGTTTTTAAAGTTAGTCAGATGACACCTGAACAACCTGATCCTGTCAAACAGTGCCACCTATTCTCATTGCCAAGGCCATTATAGGACATTTTATGCTTTTGAGCATTCATCTGGCCTTGCACCTGGGACTTTTGTTTTGGTATAAAAAAAAAAAAAAAAAAGATACTTTTTTTCCCTTTGATTCCCTTTTTGGCAGAATGAAATGTGTAATTTTGTCAAATTTTCCAGTATTTTGCATCATCCACTTTTCCTTTGATTTTAAAAGCATATTGTGGGACAATACTAAATTTGTAGCATACATGTAACTCTGAAGCTAAAAATGGTTCTATGTTGGTCTCATCTGACTACAAAACATTTTCCCCTGAGCAACTATGCCGTGTGTCAAGACTTTTGGCAAACTCCAGAAGTGCTGCGACATGGTTCTTTTTGAACATTGTCCTCTTTTGTGTCACACTCCTGTATCGGCTAGCATTGTCCAGGGCTCTTGATGTGCTGTCTGGTGCACCCTCAGCTCCAGAACTCTGTAGCCCCTTCAAAGTGTCTGTTTGCCTCTCTGTAGCTTCCATCACAAGACTCATGCTTGTTTGTGCAGAAAATGTTGTGGAACAACCCAGACTAAACAGTTCTTGGGTGGTTTGATATAGTTTCCACTTGCTGAAACAACAATGCCCACTGGGATATCCAAAGTGTTATGTACTCTTTTGGCAATTTATGCATTTGTTTTATATATGCTCTTTAGTCATTATTTTCACCTGTATAATATATTTCACAGACTGAATACTGCTCCCATAACTGTGGGAGTTTTTGATCAAGAATATGTGTAAGTGATTTTAATGATTCACAGGTAGAGACCAATTATAAAGCAGTTGTGTTCTCAGAGCAATTGTATTTCATTTGTGTAACCGAAGAGCTTCTACAACCCAGGTACTGAATATTTATATAAACAGCATATTTCATTTTTTATCTGTTATAATATTGTCTACTCTTACATAGCGCCACGTTAAAATCATTTTAAATTATTTGAGTTTCAATGTTTAGATTTGTTACTGTGTGCTTGTGCAAAACTCACCATCATGGCTTGTGGTGGTAGTTAGGGTGTTACTAGGTGGTTGCTCACTGGCCTGAGTTAAAAGTGCCCATTATTAAATCTCTAAGATGTTCTGGTTCCTAAATATGGCTCCAGTCCTTTTTTTCAAAGCGAGTCTATTAGACACTAAAATTTACCAAAACATTGATTTTATATATTGACTGATAACAACACAACAATACAGAAAACATTAACGTCAACAATTTATCTGTTATAAATGGCTGATAATAAAATTATATACTATTTTTTCTAGGAAAGTAAATTCAAAATGAAAGAGTAAAAATGTAATCAATTTTTAAATGCTAGAAGTGAATTTAGGCATCAAAATAATTTACAGTATGAAAAATATAATATTTGAGATTTGCTTAATATTATATTGATATGTTTAGGGCTGCAACTAACAATTATTTTGATATAATATATTTATTTTGCAATAATTATATTATAGCATTAGAAACAGCCTACTACTGTTACTAAAGAGCTTATGCATATTGGAGGACTAACCCATACAGAAAGCTAAAAAATGATTTTGGTAATCACCAGTACTGTTAGTTTAGAGCAGAAGTGGCACAAACCATCATTTGTTAAAAACCTTACATAAATTTGTTTTATGGTGGGGGTAGTGAATGTACAGCGCTCTCTTCCACCTTCAATAGGTCACCATGCTTGGCCACATGTCACGTCACTTTCACTTTCACTTTCATAAAGACGAATAAAATCACAAACTCAGTGGTAACCAATAGGTAAGAGTAATGTTCTGCAGGAACACACGTTCACTTTGACCACAGTCACGTCATAGCCCGATTCGGACGGTAATTGTTTCTCATATGGACGTCTGTAAAAATAAATGTACTTATCACCTCAGTGATAAAACTCATGGATTCCGAATAGGGCTTAGTGTCATTTCTTTATCCTGTTAAAGGCGGTTTTGAAGCGTCTGATATTTATATTCAGACAACTACACGCCCTTTATCCTGTTAAAGGCGGTTTTGAAGCGTCTGATATTTATATTCAGACAATTACACGCTGTTATCCCCTTACAGTTCCTACTCTCATAAAATATGCGCAATGCATGTTGACCTTTAAACCTTTATTTAACTTTCAACAACAGATATTTCAGCACAATTAATGTTTTGCGCTGATTATTAATTGTCTCTGTTTTCCGTCTGTCTGACGCGCGTGCACGCACCCGCCGCGCTGGCGCTCATTCAGTAAAGATTAAAATTTAACAGACTGTCAGGACGGACCTTTATGCAAAACTGGAAATGCTCGCGTGAATTTGTGACATTTATACATAAGGATATGACCATTAACTGAAAGTTTTTTTGCGCTGAGGACGTACACGCATCTGTTAAAGCGCCTGACAGGGCAAGCCATTACGCTAATGCATTAGCTTAAAGCTTAAAATAAAGAATTCTCATGTTTTGGGTAGCTTGGATCACGTAACTCTCCTGCAGCATCTCATTCTGTTTCCTCCACTATTTTAGATGCATTTTGTCCATAGAAATAAATAATTCAGTGCTTTAATTTGACGCGACCGGCTGAAGTTGGATGTGCACTGTGGGCAGACCCGATTAATCGATAATGAGAATAGTTGTCGATGATTTTAATAATCGATAATAATCGATTCAGCCCTAGATATGTTATTAAACTTTTTTTTAAGATTAAATTGATGTGAGTGTTAAATGATGGCAAAGGGAATTTAAATGGAGAATAATCCGATAATTGAAAATCTGTATTTTTTAATCTGTTTTTGCACATTTTATTATCTGCTAAACAAATAATCGTCATTCACTTAAATAATAAGTCGTTCACAGAACTCAGAACTAGTACTTACACACCTCTCCTCAACAAGCTGCATGACTGGCATCATAATTTGTTTTTGGAGGAAGTTAAGAGTCAAAAATCACATGAAAACAAGACAACATATACATGCAAAAACAAAAACTCAGCCGTTCCCCTTCTATCCGCTAACCAAGGGCAGTGTGTGAGTGAGTGTTGAACGAATGGGTTATATATATATTTTTTTTACTGCCGAGCACCAGGCCAAGAGCGAGTGGCTGGCACTGAA